TATTTATCATCAGGCCTTTCATTAACCTCTTCCCATATTTCTGGAACCACTTGTACCTACTATGCTGGAGTTTCCTTCCACACTGCTACAAATCAGAAGGAATTCCACTAACATTACTGACATTACATTGGTATAAAATGGGGATATAAGGAGAGGAGAAAATGCCTATGATGATAGGTATATTGGGTCAAATTCATTCATGAATTTCGGTGGAAGTCATGTATAAAGTTCTTACTGCAAAGCTAATGTGACAGCATCACACATCCAGATTCTTTTGTGGTCCACATTTAAGAACATCAGGATGGCTCTTCAGCCCTCATGTCATGTTGTTTTTCAGAAAAGCTATGTCTAGACTACAGAGTTTTGTCAGAAAAACAGCCATTTTTCCAACAAAACTTGTTACATTCACACTGCAAGCGCGTTCTTTCAACAGTAAATTGAAAGACCAGAGGGCTTTTTGCGCAATTGGTAAGCCTCATTCTACAAGGAAGAAGCCTTTTTCTAAAAGAGCTCTTTCGCAAAAAGGCATGTGTGGACAGGGAAGAGGGAGTTTTTTCAGAAGAAGAGGGAAGAGGAAAAAGCACAGGTGCCCTAGTGGCCATTCTGTCCATAGCAATCACTGCTTACACGCTAGATAGCATCCAGGCAGTCTGGACACTACCTTTTGAAAAAGCGCATTGCTTTTTCAATGCGCTTTTGCAGTGTGAATGCTGTCTTGCACAAGAAGTTTTTCTGAAGATCTCTTTCGAAAAAAGCTTCTTGTGCAAGAAGCCTGTAGTCTAGACATAGCCAAAGTGGTCCAAAGAAGGCCGCTGGGGAATCATCTTCTACGGGGAATCCTCTGGGTGGAAGAAAGCTGGTGTAGCAACCCTGTGAAGTGATGCTAAATCCTGCAATTTTATCATGAGTCTTGTATTATTTTGATGTTCCAAAGCCCAACACCCTGGAGTCATGTCACTATGTTATAATCTCAGATGTCTTTTGAAGGCAGTTTCTAGATCTCACCATTGTGGAGAAAATCTTGAAGAAAAGGTGACTCGTAAAGGCTCAAAACCAAGCAAGGCAAATAAAAGACAAAAGTCACGATTTTGGGGGCCTGTTTCTTAATTTCTGAACAGTTGGAGTTTACAATAGCATCTGTTCCCAGTGACCAAGGCATAAGGGATGTGTTAAAGTGTTAGGCAGTAGGGCCAGAGCACTTAGCACACTGGCAATCCTCAGATGCTAGAGCAGTTTATAGGAGTAGAAGTTGCTGTGGAATGGTGTTTTAAAGTCACGTTGTCTCCATACCCCTAACTCACCCCAATGAGCACAGCTCAGCTGCACCTAAGGATCTGCCCCAAACAAAGCAATGCATTAAATTATATATTTTATAACAAAGAAAATATAACATGTGCAAGGTTACCAAGTTAATATAGTTGTAGGAATCCTAACTCCTGCGTTTCTCCAGTCTCTATTTTTATTTTAACTGTACATCCCTAACACTGTATTAAAATAGATTCTGTTTTTAATTCATACACATATCTAATCTATGTATGGAATATTCTGTATATTTCCCAAGATACAAGACTCTGTTAGCATGTAATCTTTTTATTGGGACTTTTGATTAATCACAGTTAACTCAGCCAATTAACTAAAATTAATTGTGATAATCATAATTTTAATAACACTGTTCAGTTATACAATGCCAATTGAAATGTATTCAATATTTTTTTACCATTTCAAATATATCAATTTCAATTATAACAGAATACAAAGTATACCGTGCTCATTTTACTTTATCTTGAGTATAAATATTTGCACTGTAGAAATTATAAAAGAAATAGTATTTTTCAATTTACCTCATACAGGTTCCGTAGTGCAATCTCTTTATTGTGGAAGTGCAATTTACAAATGTAGATTTTTTTATAATATAATTGCACTAAAAAAATTGTAAAACTTTAGCACCTACAAGCCCACACAGTCCTACTTCTTGTTCAGCCAATCACTAAGACAAACAAGTTTGTTACATTTACAGGAGATAATGCTGCCTGCTTCTTATTTACAATGTTACCTGAAAGTGAGAATTTGCATGGCACTTTCATAACGAGCATTATAAGATATTTACGTGATGGGTATGCTAAACATTCATTTGTCCCTTCATTCCATCATTCCAGAGGACATGCTTTCTGCCTGATGATGCTTGTTAAAAGATAATGTGTTAATTAAATTTGTGACTGAACTTCTTCAGGGAGACCTGTACATCTCCTGTTCCATTTTACCCACATTCTGCCACATATTTCATGTTATAACAGTCTCAAATGGTATGCCAGCACATATTGTTCTTTTTAAGCACACTTTCACTACAAATCTTACAAAATACAAAGAAAGTATCAATGTGAGATTTCTAAAGATAGCGATAGAACTTGACCCAGAGTTTAAGGATCTGAAGTGGTTTCCAAAATCCAAGAGGGTCACAGTGTAGAAGCATGCTTTCAAAAGTCTTAAAAGAGCAATAGTCTAATGCGGAAACTACAGAACCCAAAACATCCCCCCAAAAATCAAACTTTTACTGGTGGCATCTGACTCAGATGATAAAAATGAACATGTGTTGGTCTGCTTTGCTTTGGATCATTATTGAGCAGAACCCGTCATCAACATGGATACATGTTCTCTGGAATGGTGGTAGAAGCATGAAGGAACATATTAATCTTCAGCGCATCTAGCACAAAGATATCTTGTGACACCAGATACAACAGAGTCAAACAAACACCTGTTCTCACCTTCAGGTGACACTGTAAACAAGAAGCAGACATCATTATGTCATGCAAATGTAACCAAATTTCAGTGATTGGCTAAATAAGATGTAGGACTGAGTAGACATGTAGGTTCTAAAGTTTTACATTGTTTTATTTTTGAGTGCAGTTATTTTTGTATATAACTCTACATTTGTTAAGTTCAACTTTCATGATAAAGAGATTGCACTACAGTAGTTGTATTAGGTGAACTGAAAAATACAATTTTTTGTTTTTTACAGTACATATTTATAATAAAAAATAAATATAAAGTGAGCATTGTACACTTTGTCTATGTTGTAATTGAAATGATCATATTTGAAAATGTAGAAAACGTTCAAAATATTTAAATAAATGGTATTCTATTATTGTTTAAGAGCATGATTATTTGCAATTAATTTTTTGAATTGCTTGACACCCTTCCTCTTTATGCATTTAATCCTATGATAATGGCCATTAAAAGAATGAGCCTAAGAATTAATTATATAACTTCACTGCAGACAATATGAAAATATCGAGCAATTGTATGTATGCGTACACAAAACGGCAGAAAAACTTTAGGTTCTAGCTTACTGGATTATGATTTAATAAAAGCCCACTTGGCTTTTTCCATGCACAGAGTTATAATAGAGATGGCTATTTGTTTTTTAAATTGCTTAGTTTAGGAGGCACCAATCTGAGAATAACTGTATTGTGGTTACAGGGTGAGCTGGGCTTGAGACCCTTTTAAATGACACCTACACCACAAGCTCTGGGTGTGATTCTCTTGCTTGTGTACACATATTCATTCTAGCTCTCATTAAACAAGCATAAATAGCAGTGTGATTGTGCTAGTCCAGGGAGTACCAGCAAAAGCATAGCTGAGTTTCAGGTGGGTTTGTGCTTGGCACAGCTCAACTATGCCTCTGCTGCTGCCACCAGTCTTGCTAGGGCTACACTCCTATTTTTACTTGTGCTAGCTCAATGACAGCTAATGCACACCTGTGTACACAGGGAGTCACACTCCTAAATTGTAAGGAGTCTCTACTAAGTCTCTCTCAAGTATCCCATTGGGGATAGATTTTGCTCCCCTCTGGGTGGAACAATCTGGTCTTTTCACTCTGAGACAGGCTTTCTGGGCTGCAGCCCTCTGTTTGCCATCTACATTCACCTGACAGGCCCAATTGTGTTTGGCACCCCTCAGCCCTTTTCAGCCAGAATCCTGTGACAATGGCTGATTAAACTCACTCAAAACCAGTTTCTCTAAAACAAAGTGTGATGCAGTCACTCAAAGGTACATAGCTCACTAGAGGCCTATATGCACACCTCCTTTCTTCCTTTGTCCAAAATGCTTGGAGTTTTTGGTGGTGGTGGTGGTGGTGGTGGTTTTGGGGTCTGGGCTTTTTGTTTTAGTTTGTTCTTGTTTTTGCAAGCTTTGGTAAGATTCGTTCAACTTAATTACCTCCGTCTTTGGATTAGGAGAAACAGCCTAGTAGTTACACTTTGTCTGTATGTCCCCTAGGTAGGGGCAAGACACACACACACACACACACACACACACACACACACACACGTCCTGCTCCAGGGAGCACAAGGCTGTTCTATGGCCTAGGCACTCTCCACTGCTGAGCCTCCTCTCTGGTCAAGTTCATTGAAGCCCTAGGAGTCAGCAGGCTCCCTGGTACATTGAGCATCCTTAGGGAATTACCTCTTCCTGCCCACGCTTTGGCAGAGGTAAGGAGGTGGCTGGCATGTGCCATTGGCCAGCAGCAGCCTGGAGATGTTAGCTGCATTTTGGCACTGTGTGGGCTGAAAGGGACAAGCTGCTTTCTGCCATATGGGAGTAGGGGGGAACAATTCATCACTCCCACCTCTTCCCTGGGACTGGAAACAGCTCCCGCCAGTTCCCTCACGCGCTGTACTGAAAGGCTGCTGCTAGCCATGTGCTGCTGTGAACTCTGGCAGAAATCTGGGTAGGGGCATGCGTCACTCTGCATGAAACCCCCGCCTCCCCAAGCATGATGCTTGGGGAAAGCGCAGTGGCAGGTACCATCCCAGGAGCCCATCCAGGCATGGAGAATGGAGAGTGCTTGGCAGGGAGGGCTGGGTTGGTGGATCACACATACATGCATGTGAGAGAAGCTTATGAAAGTGCACATTGGTATCACCCTTTCCCATGTGAACATTAATGCCTTAAAGATAAGCTAAATAAAAATAATCCAACTACATGGTATTTCTTTTTAACAGGGTGTGACGTGGCGGCACTGCCCCGCACTAAAGCTAAAGGAGTCCACCTGGGCCCGGGGGCAGGGCAAGTCCTGCCCCCACAACCCTGCGTGGCATGTTCAAGAGTGAGGCCCGAGATAAAAGCCAGGGGACGCCGTCAGTCAGAGGAGGTAGCCAAAGGGGCAGGAGCACCAGGAAGAGATCCGGAGCTGTCCCAGCCATCCTCGGAGCCAGGCCTGCCATCCCCGACACCTCCGGAGTGAGGCCTGCTGATTCAGCCACCTAGGAGCTGCAACCTTAACCACAGGCCTCGGGACATAGGCTCAGCCAGGGAAGAGGTAGGAAGCAGCCCAGGGCAGAGGAAGGACCTCTGGGAGATCTGCGTATTCTGACAGATATCCCCGCCGACCAGGTAGTGGTGACTCACTGCCAATAGGGCCCTGGGCTGGGACCGGTGGAGTGGGAGGGCCCTGGTCCCCCTGCCTCCCCCAAACCTCCCGAAATCCAGCCTTCAGGACTGGGGGAAAGGCTGAACTGTAGAGACTAGGCCAGAGGGCCGTATTACCCCTAAGTAAGCAACACTGAACACTGGGGCCAGGCTAGAGAGATTGTGTTTTCCCAGAACCAAGGTGAATCCGCTCCAGGACCAGGACCTCCCCCCTCACACAGGGACTCAGCCAACTTGACATTAATCTGAACATTTACATGATTGATTGCCATTGAACTTGCTTGAATATGAGTAATTTTACCAGGTGTCCCCTATTCAGTGTTGGGAAGTAAGTTCAGCCTACTAAGTATAAAATGCTGAAGGAAAATTTAATTTTTAAAAATATTTTGCAAAAGAGCACTGATAACTACCTGGAGTTATTTTAAGTTGTATTAACTGAGATATAACATACTGCAGATGTTTTCCCAAATTCTATAAAAATGTCTTGGGATAACACAGTGGCGCAAATAAATCAGAATTCCTCAGGGAATAAAATGTTCATCTTAAAGAATATCTCCTAGGTCAAATAAAGTTGCTACATTTCTGTCTTTTTTTTGAACATCACCATCATCATCTTCACTTTTATTTATAGATAAAGGGCTTCTGTCAGCATTTTATCCTTTTATTTATAGGCTGGTATGGAAACTAATTACTGAAAGTTTCCTGCTCTGCAAATCCTGCCATAATGAAATTTCTAACATGACAACTTTAATCTGCTCCACAAGCATAGTCTTACTTCTCCTAGATATAGCCTTGAGTCAAAAACACGAGGCAGACACCTGCATGTCTAAGGGCTTGTCTATACACAGTTTTTGTATTGATTTTAAAATAGAAGTTTAAGTTAAATTGGTGCTACACGTACTGTGGTTGCACTTAGATTTAAACAAAAGTTCTGGCATTGCTATAGCTTATTTTGGTAAATGTAACACAATAAGAACTTTTACTGTGGCTGCAGCTATACCAATATAAGGGGATTCAATTATATTGATGCAAAATCTGTGTATAAGCCAGAGTCTGAAAATTACAAAAAGTAAAAACAAAGGACAAGGTACAATTCTTTGAACTGTCTTCTCTAACATAAGCACAGAGCAGCATACAATTAAAACAATAAACTATCCTGCACATGAATTTTCTCTTGGGGAAGCCGATATGAGAGAGAACACAAAACACATAACAGATGTTTGTCGCATCGCTTCATGCGCTCTAATGGAAGTCACTGCTGCAGTGAGTAGTATAAAAACCTATTTAGAACAGAACTGGGAAATTATAGTTAGAAACTGCGTAATAGGCCCACCTTGTGCTTGGTCTCCCTCTTGTTTTTGCTTCTAATATATTTGAAGAATGTTTTGGTTTTACACTTTACATGTCTAGCTAATTTGAGCTCGTTTCATGCCTTGGCCTTTCTAATCTTGCCCATGCGTACAATTGTTATGTGTTTGTATTCATCCAACTTGGCCTTATTTCAACTTTTTGTAGAACTCCTTTTTGATTTTTAGACCATTCAAGATATCCTGGTTAAGCTAGGGTGCCACACTTCCTATCATTCCCAAGCAGTGGAATAGTTTGTTCTTGCGCCCTTAATAATGCATTTTTGATAAACAGCCAACTGTCTTCAATTGTTTTTCCTCTTAGACTTCCCATGGGATCTTTCCTATCAACTCTCTGAGCTTGCTAAAGTCTGCCTTCTTTAAATCCTTTGTCTTTAAATCCTTCTCCTGTCTATCATTTCTTAGAATAATGAATGCTACCATTTGGGGTATGTCTAGACTACATGGCTCCATCAATGGAGCCATGTAAAATAGTTTACTCAGCATAGTCAAAGAAGCAGGGATTTAAATAATCCCCGCTTCATTACAATAAAAATGGCTACCACGCTGTGCTGCCGATCAGCTGATCCGGCACAGTGCGGCAATCTAGACGCGGCGCGGTAGACAAGGGAAGCCTTTGTCGACCTCTCCAGTAAACCTTGTTTCACTTTGACTATGCTGAGTAAACTATTTTACATGGCTCCGTCGACGGAGCCATGTAATCTAGACGTACCCTTTATGATCTCTTTCACCCAAGCTGCCTTCCACCTTCAAGATCTTAACCAGTTCTTCTGTATTTGTTAAAATCAAATCTAGAACAGCCTCCCTCCCACAAGAGCTTTCTCCACCTTTGGCAAAAAGTTTGTCTACAATACACTCAAAGAATTTTCTGTGCTCTGTGTTATTTTCCCAAAACATGTCAGGATAGTTGAAGTCCCTCATCATGGTCAATTTCTGTGCTTTGAATGATTTTGTTAGTTCAGAAAAAGCTTCATCCACCACTTCTACGTGGTTAGGTGATCTGCAATAGACCCCCTACCATGACCTCACCCTTGGTTATTACTTCTTTTATCCTTACCTAGAGACTGTCTCCTATGTCCATTTCAACCTCAGTCCAAGTGTATACATCTTAAATATATAAGGCAACACCTCCTCCCTTTCTGAGCAAGCTGTACCCTTCTACACCAATATTCCACTCATGTATATTATCCCACCAACTCTCTGTGATGCCACCTATTTATTTACTAGCATTTCAAGTTCTTCCTGCTTATTCCCCATACTTTTTGCATTAGTATACAGATAATGAAGATACTGATTTGATTTTGCCCCCAAAGTCTATGTTCTCGCTCCTTGATCTCTGCTGTTACAGCTCACTCTCCCTTCATTTTCTGACCGGTCAGATCTCCATGTCTATGACTCTAGTGGGCTTTGGTCTCCTGCCCCCTTCAAACTTAGTTTAAAGCCCTCCTCACTAGCTTACCAGTCTATGTCCAAATACTTTCTTCCCCTTCCTTGATAGTTAGGCCCTCATCTCTGCTTAGCAGTCCTCTTCTCTGGAGCAACATCCAATGGTCAAGGAAGCCAAAGTCTTTCTGGCGACACCATCTTCACAGCCAGGCATTCACCTCCACAATGCATCTGTCTCTGCCTGTGCTCCTACCTATTGTTTACCTACAAGGCAAAGCTAGGGCTGTTGTAGCACAGAGGAGAATGCTTGAGTAGCTGAAAGGCTCATGTTGCCAGGGAGCTGACATCCAGCTACCATAAATCAGATTGCCCCTGACTAGAAGCTGAGGGTAACAAGATGACTCTCAGTTCTAGATGCCCTGAGAACTGTCCCATCTATACTTAGTCACGCTGTCATAAAAAAAGGATGGAGAAAAATTGTTCTCTTTTACTACAGAGAGCAGGACAAGCGCCTCTGGGTTTAAACTACAGCATAGCAGATTTAGACTAAATCTCAGGAAAAGCTTCCTAACTGTAAGGACGGTAGGACAATGGAACAAACTGCTTAGAGTAGTAATGGAAGCTCCTTTACCAAAGGTTTTCAGAAAGAGGCTGGATAAGGCTTCTGTCATAGCCACAGCCAATCCTGCATCTTGGTAGGGGGGTAGCCTAGACAACCTTTGCAGTCCCTTCTTACCCTATGCTTCTAAGTCTAATGTTTCTCTGCTACCACTTGTACCAGTGGCCCAGAGTAACTATCATAAGTATCTTATATTGGAGTGTTGATGAGAAAAAATTATCTTGACTCCATTGCACTAGTCACATGACATGAGTCAGAATGATAAAAGATCATATCCTGGTCACATGGCAGGGGCCAGTAGCCACTGTTTTTAGTGACTATTGGTACATTACAATGAGCTTATAATTGACAAGATACAATTTTTCCAATTAAAAAGTAAAGAAAAATTTAAAAATCCATGCTTTGCTAGATTAACTATTCAGCAACAAATGTAGCATATTACACAGTGACTAGTGTGTGGAATGTGGTATAAAATTTTATTTCTCTGAAATATATCACACAGTGGTAGTTCATTTAGATGTGTAATATGGTTCATTATCTAAAAATATTATCCATGTGAAATATAACTGAATTAAAAACAGAGAAATGAAATAATGAAATTATTATTGCCTCATTACTGGTTCTGATAGCCTCTACAACACTTAAAAATGTTGGCACCTTCTTTTCTTCTTTAATGTCATTTGCAATAACAAACAGTTCAAAATGCTCAGTATATACGTGCCATTACTCTAAAGTCTCCTCAAAAGGTCCCAGTGGCCCTGTAAGTGTAGCCATGGCTGTTTTTCTTTTCCAGTCTCTGGGCTCTTTGATCTTAGTTTCAGTTTGCACAGTGTAGCAGTCAATTCTTCTTCGAGTGATGTCCCTGTGGGTGCTCCACTATAGGTGTCTGGTTCATCCCAGCGCCGCAATCTGGAAAGTTTTCACCAGCAGTAGCCCCCTCCGGAGGACCGCGCATGCGCAGAGGTGTCTCGCGCCGTTCACGCCATTTCTGCACCACACGGTCCAACGCGCCAGTTCCTCCTAACCATCCACAGCCGCAGACGGACTTGGAACACGCTCCTCTCCTGAGGAGAAATTGTATCGTATTTTCTTACTGTTCCTTCCCAGTTAGCCCCTTCCTACATAGTATTAGTCAGTTTATTATAGTAGTTAGTTAGTTAGTCGTGGAAAAAAAAAATTCTCTTGTTGCCGTTATAATTACTAAGGACCGCTCCGACCAGCCCCTCATTTCTTGAGGTTCTCCGGGCTTCAAGAAATGTGCCTTGTGTGGTGACACCGTGCCGGCCTCCGATGGCCACTCCCGTTGCATTCGCTGCCTAGGAGAGGGCCACATCCCCCAGAAATGCGGTCACTGCTAAAAGTTGACCGCTTGAGCGAGATGGGATAGAAAAATGCGCCTGAAGATGTTACTCTTCAATAAGGCGCTCCAGCCCCCATCAGCAGAAGAACGGGAGGCTCCAGTCCCACATAAGTCCCAGGACGGAAAAAGCTCTGCTCCGCCCAGGAGCGTAAGTGCAG